CTTTTGGAGTGCATGAAATGTGGTGTCTCAAAACGAAGCCACAACAAAGCCCCAAACGAAGCCAAAATCCACTTTAGGTTTTTTCAAAAGAAGTTCCTTTGCTGTACTTCACCTTGTAAAGGTCTAGTGGTAATATAACTCACCTGGTGAACAAACAGAGCATAGTAGCCTAACTGGTACAAATCCTTGGAACACGAAGCCGGAAAACCGAAAACGAAGCCTCAGTAGAAACGATCAATTGTTTAAAACTTTAATTTTGCCGATCGCTCAACTCTCCATGTGTGTGTTTGCGCCGTTGCACAGGAACAGAACACGGTGCCTGATGTTGTTATGACCCAGTGTGATCCAAGGCAGCCGGTGTATGAGCGTAAGATGGGTGTGAAGTTCATCTGGGGTGAGGCGCACAGGGTTCAGAGTTAATGTAGGATGATCTTGGCACAGCAATACAATCGACATCCGTGGCAGGTGAAGGCACTGGATGGAGATAAGAAGACCGCGAGCGTGAAGCCCATGTTCTCTAACAACATGGATGAGATTGGCTTTGATCCATGGCCATGAGAGTGATGTTTGCTTGCTTTCAGACCAATGGCTTCAAACTGTTCCCTTTTCATTTAATTCTTGTGCCAGAGGCTTTTGGCTCAGAGATTTCAGAGTTTCATCATTTTGTGCCAAGCAACCCAGGACTACTGCATCATTTGCTCGGGTTGCAACTTTGGCCCTTTCAAACCCATGGGCGAATCCTTGTGGCTCCTCAGCTTGCACTCCTGCTCGCGAAATAAACATGCCATCCTGCATGATCTGACGTTCTGATATTTTTTGAGCTTGACATAGATTTTTGATGATTTTGGACCCTTATCCAATCCTGAACTCCTGAGCAGAACTTAAGGCAAATTGTTCAAAGCAGTTGTTTTGTTCAAATTTGCGACCTCTCAGATGTGATGATAACTTTTACACATAGCGAACACCATTTTATGAAAACAATATGCCCCGATGTTGCGGAATACAGATGCTGTGGCACGCGAACTACATGGTGATAAATTTGGAGGATGATGCTAACCTCCACCCCCTACATGCGCTTCCGTGTCAAGCTCCATTTGCATCCATTTCCAGTGTACAATTATAATCAAATCACCGTTCGATGTCAATATTGCAGATACGAAGACAATGTTGCTTGGCGACGGCCAATTGAATAGTCACCGTTGTAATGACACAGGCGCCCCACCACACCCAAGTCCTATAACTGGCCCTGCTATATCGACAGTTTGGCAGGGTCTTCAAAATCACTGTTTACAAGTTTTTTTTTTTTGAGTATGTGTGTTTTGGTGTTGCCCGTACAGCTACAACCGTGGCTGAAAAAGTGAAAGTTGGAGAGACCATCTCTGTTGCGGGGTTGTTGTTTGCAGCGGTATCAGCTGAAAGCTGTGCTGGACTTCAGCTGTTGTGGTGATGTCCACCGCGCTGGCCGCCTCAGAGTTGAGCACAGTACACATGAGCAACCACAAAAACATGCAATGACAGTTTATAATGACCCTTTGAGACTGTTTGCAGTCAATGTCGTAAAAACCATCACTGCGATAACGACGATGGTGCCGTGTTGATGGGAGAAAGCTGTTTTTTCAACCACAAGCCGTGAGATGCTGGGCTTGCGCAGATGGCAATTGACGATTGTACAACAGAGGTGACAAACGAACCAACCCCATGCCACAGAAAACGGTCCATGAGCACAAGCCTGGCGAAACGAAGAATGAACAATGCACCCCGCATAACTACTACCTCCCACAGGCAAAGGATCCTCATTGTCCTCCACCACCAAGGTTCCCAACGGTGCACGAGGCAGCCTTTGCCCACAGTGACTGGAAGCACATCGACGAGCGCTACCTTGAAGGTCGTCGCCGTCACGTGCTGGAGGAGAAACGATTTATATTACTAGTAGCTTCTTGCTACTAGTTACTAGTAGTAATGCCCGTGTTATCCCGTGTTACTTGTAGCTTTAATTTGCCCTTTGCAATCACTACTATGCGTAGCTACGCGGCATCCGGGGCAAAGGGGAGAGAGAGAGAGAGCGCGCGACCCGGGGCAGAAATTTCATGATGGGTCGGCCTTGAGATGAGCCTTAAGGCTGCTCAAAGCACCTGGCAGGAGTACCACAAGCTCCATGAACTGAACAAGAAGCAGGCTACAGTCCTGGTGGTTGGTGCTGGCTTCATTGGTGTGGAATGGGCCGCCTGCCAAGTGAGAGCATGAGAGCATTGCAAGCAGCAAACACTAATACAGGCGTTTGACATTTGTGTAAAGGTCAGGAGAAGGCTTGCAAATTGTGCCGGGTTCTCTTGAGACAATATGAGCAACCACTTTTATTTATATAGGCTTTACTAAAGTAGTCTACGGCGTGCTCTATTTGCTTGTCTATCATCCGTATTCGCTTGTGAACGAGATAGGGCCCCCATACAAACGAGATACCTTTGCTTGATGACACTTCACTAAAGTAGTCTGAACGAGATATTGTGATCTGCTACTAAAGTGGTCTGAACGAGATACTGTGACCTGACCTCCTACTTAAGTAGTCTAGGGCCCCCACATAATAGATAGTGTGTTTGAGTTTAGTACATTTTAGTACCAAATAAATGCCGCCGCGCATATCATTAGCTCGCTTGGCAAGGTGCCGACAGACTGACTGGCACGATGTGACTTGTCCTTGAGTCCTTGACCCAAGGCCACAGAGATTGAGCACTTCTTCCCCAATGTCAAGCTTCTTGGCAGCTGCTACGATTATCTCGTACACACCCACCCACCCACCCACCCACCCACCCACCCACCCACCCACCCACATAAAGATTGAAAGGCTTGGATGTGTAAGGGGGCCCCAGATCCAAGAAGGGGCCCCCTGCTCTTGGCCTGGCGGTGTAATCCCAAGAGCAGGAAAGAAGGAAAAGGAAAGACACGAAGGCCAAAAATACCATTTAAAAAAAGATGATAGATATTTTTGGTGTGTTCGTCTGTGCCTCTTATCTTTATACGCCTGGTCTGGATTCTAACCGCCTGTCCTTATGCCTCCTGGGTGGCCATGTTCCGAAAGGCTTCAGGGCTTACAAGACCTTCCAAGGCTTACCATCATCGACTTCCTCCCACGTTGCCTTGGCCCTTTGCCTGACGGCGCAGCGGAGTACTGCTCGGACTACATGACGCTTTGCCTTTGTTATTAGTCCTTGCAGGCAGCTTTCTGTTGAAGTTGCTCGGACGGACGATGGTGGGTTGTGCTGCCGGTCGCCCAGGTCTGCGTGTGGCATCAAGGAGTTCTACAATTGCAAGTATGACCCAAAGAATCCAGCATCTCGACTGAAATTATTTGATTCAGGTTTGAACAGTGTCCCCGTGTGTTGGATGGTCATTGCAGACGTTCTGGACGTTTTCTTTTGTCTGGAGCCACCCACCAAAGTTGCGTTCTCCAGTTGGTGAGGAGTTTTGGAAGCAGATTGAGCTGCCAAATGGGGCAGATGAGATCTATGTGTGCATCGGTGTCAAAGCTTCCAACTACTTCATGCCCGCAGAAACACTGTCTGACAAGGGTCCAGGACGGGGTTCGTGAGCTTTTGGAAAGGCCAAGCTGCATTAAGCGGCTATTCTTAGGCATTTTCTTTGCACATGTGAGTGACAATATATGTCTGCCAGATGCATCAATCAAGACACGAGTTTTCAGAGCTCGGATCCAGCAGCATTTTCCGAATTCATCTCTCCCCGTTAATACCCTACTTCTTCTATCGGAAACTGTTGCAACACCTTCAGGTGGAGGTGGCTGGATCCACTTCAACAAGCATATGCAAGTGACAAAGAAGCCCTCCCTGGGTGGTGGAGTCTGGTCGGATGGCAGCATTTTTGCCGTGGGTGACTGCAACTACGGTTGCATTGGTGAACCCGGCAACTGGGAGATGCCGCCCGTGCCGAAGATCTCCTACCCGGGTGAGGAGCAAGCCTACCACGCCTGCCTGAACGTCATGAAGCTGGCGATGCTTGGCGCAAAGGTCAGAAAAGGCTGGTGATGCTGGTGCTTCTTCGGTCTCCACTTACAGTACTGCTCCTTTGGCACTAGATTGCCCGGCATTTTTGGTAATATATGTTTACAGCAATCTCTCCAAGTTCATTCGAGGCTCTTCAACCTTTTGAATGTTAAATTGTTGTTTGTTGGATGTGCTCAGCCATCAGCGCTCGCCTTGTCATAATGCAGAGTACCCTGCTACTACTAGTGGTAGGGTCCAGTGGAAGACCTTGGAGAGATGTGGAGAGATAGTTGCACTGATCTACTTAATTGACGGACATTGTGACATGATCCAAACAGGAATCGTCGCAAGTCTAAACTTTATCTATAGTTTCCGGCTGGAACTACGCCGTGGAGATCAAGAAGTTCAAGGTAGTTTTCACAACAGTGGGTCAGATTGGATGGATGGCCTTGTTGTTCTAAATGCACCTTGGTACTGTACTGGAAATGACTCAGGAGTGGAAAGAAAGACAAGTTGGTGAAGACTTGGTGGCCTTGGGGCGCCGGAATGTTTGCCACAAGCCTGGGACCTCATGATGCATGCTTCGTGGCTGGGGCAAATGAGAACAAGAACTCCGGCTACATGGTGACTCTCAGCAGCATTGCCCATCCTTCAATTGTAATTGTTGATGCCCTGAACAGCCATGGTTGCAAGACTAAACATTGGTAGGAAGGTAGGGGCCATTGATATGCCCTTTGATCAGAGCAGTTTTAGATCTTTGCAGTTCCGGTGGCTTCACTTTGTTTTGGTAATTATTGAATTAGAAAACAGTATGGCTCAGGAATTGGTGGATCCCGGCCGCGCTGCAGAAGGTGTGGTGCTGGGTTCTCGATGGATACTGATACTGAACGAATCCTAGCAGCTAGCATGTTGTAGGGTCCTTTAGGAACTGCAAATTAACTGCTGCATTGTGAAAGCAGTAGTCCAATGCGAACTCACTCGTGCACACTCCATTTCGGTCAGGAGATCATTGAAACCTCCAAGATCGATGAATGCCGTGACCGGTGGATTGGCATTCTGATTTGGCACTTTGTTCACCACACCCCTGTCCATTTGTTTGGCCGTGGCCCATGGTTCGTATAGATGAGCACAGATGAGCGGCGAATAGATGAGTGCTGCATGGCTTTGCTTCCTTTGAGCAAGACCTGGTAACAGCCTGCAAGCCACTCTCCACCAAAGTGATGCCATATCCCTGCTCATAGCTCAAGATAGCTCAAGCGGGGCGTGCGTTTTTTCAGCAAATAGTGGCGAGTGGCGAGGAAAGGTATCCAGTATCCTCTCGATTCATATGGCCACACCCTCCCGTGAGCGAAGGCCACGTTGGAAAAGGCACACGTCACGTGCGATCATGTTCAGTGACTATACTTTTAAGTTTTTAAGGCCACCGCTTCTAGGTTGGAGGCATCACTATTAATTAGATTGGAGGCCTTTGCCATACTTTACCTTTTCACATTCGCATGTCCGGACCTTGCACTACTCCAAGTCTCTAAGTGTCTTTCATGGTCTTTCCAGTTTCAGCAAGCAAGGCCATTGGAGCCAGTGCCAGAGGCGCACAAAGTCACACACACACAATAAAATTCTTTGCTTCAGTCGACTTCGGCCACTCCCAGTCCTCATGTGTCAGGCTAGAGAAGACCGCACAGAGTCCTTGGAGGCAGCCACTGTGCTGCATGGTGGAAGTCCGCATCGTTGGGCACCGGGGGGTTAACACCTTAAAGCGAGAATTCCTTTGTGACAGATCTGCTCACCGTCTTTTTCTTAAACATCTTGTGAGTGCTTCGATGTCCAGACATAGTCACCACCCTTTTTAGATCTCCACGAGGCCTTCGGGCACTTTTGGGGCCGTTCCCTTGTTCACCGTGCGGCCACAGACCATCCAGCGGATCAGCTCCCTGAAGTCCAGTGAGGCCACTAGATCCAGCAGGGAAGATCCAGTCGGATTCATCCGGATGTCGTGGGAAATCGGGGCATTCAAGTGCTTTCGCTTAACGTAACGTGCCTTTATACTGTATTATATGTATGTCTAGTTTACATACAAATATGTTACTATATGGCTATTAATCACTAATAAGGGTGCATATATATATATATGAATGTGTGCAGGCATATTCAGCACCTATACAAGCAATTCATCACACAAACGGAGAAACATGGCCAGATTTCGCAATCTTATTGGCGAGTTGGCTATGGCTCAAAAGATCAAGACCCAGTGACTTTAGAAAACTATTCCTTTCGATTGTACTTTATGTTTGAGCCATTGCCACTTGTCCTTTATCCAATCGTGCGATTGATGCCTTCTGAGGCACAGTGGAATTGATTTAGTTGGGGATACCAGTTGGGGATGGTCCGAGTGCGTTGAATATAGTATGTAGAGCAAGGGACATTGCGTCAAGGCCGTCGTGATGTCAAAGCAGGTTGACTGCCTGCATGTACAGACGCTTAAAACTTAAAACCTTTGCATCCAGCCCTTGTTGCTGCTTATTAAAGCTGTGTTGTGAGGTCGGTGAAACAAATCTATAGCTGGCTGTGCCAGGACATGCGACCGTTTGCTGCACCTCCAGCGCAAGGGCCCAATAATAGCCAAAACTGGAAGCTCCAAGTTTTTGTTTGTGGAAACGCCTTGATTTAACGTGAGATGCGAACTGATCTCCCTTAGACCGACCCTTTAACGCTGAGGCCAAAGGTTGGTCTACCTGTCGGACCACCTGGCGGACCTGCCCCTGGGCCACCGAAACCTGCTCGGAACTTGGGGGTTTGTCAGGCAGATAAATGAAGTCAACCAACGCCTGTTCTTCACAAGTCCTACTAAAATTATGCATTCTTTGCCTCCATCATTCTTCACCCATTTTCCGGCAAGGCTATTGTGCATTGTTGACGCAACCATGGTTTTTGCCTAGGCCGTCGAGAAGCCGACAGTGCCGCTTGGAGGTGGGAGAGCCTTGCTGTGGAAGCAAAGGAGGTGGGTTTCTCAATCCAAAGCGGCAGGTCCAGGCAGCAGCTCGAAGGCCAGTGAGAGATGGGGGACATTGGGGGAGAGTGGGACTGTATCATTGAAAATAGCACAGACTATAAACCTGGAGGGATCTAGGTCCAGACCTTCAAAATGCACAGACTATATTTGTATTGTAACTGCAGGCCAGTGAGATAGGAGTTGTGAGACAATGGGCAAAAATACCTAAATATGTCATCAGGAAAGATCATATACGCCACAACTCCTACCTCATCAGGTCAAAACATTAATGAGGAGGTAGTTGATATTAAACCGCACATTACATACAGTAGGATTATACATGTCACTACCTTTAATGGCATAATATTTCAACCAGTGGAGGAAATAGGAAAGAGTTTGGTCATGCGGCAACTAGTGGATGAGAGGGCATGTGACAACAGGGAGCGCCTAAGTTATGAAGACTTCCTCGGTTTTTTCTCCGTGAGCACGCTATTTTATGTTACAAGCGCTAGTAGGTTATTCTCAATGTACTGGCAGAACGTCCACAACTCCTGTGTCATGCTGGTGAATTTGGCAACCTTGCTTGCTGACTGATGACTCTAGTCGTTGCGGGCAACGATGACAACTCCTATGCCACAAGCCCATTCCTATGTCAGTGGCCCTGAGTATATTTGATTTCTTTCCAGACTAGTAGCGTCCTTGTTCCTAGTAACGATGCCCTTTGTTACTAGTAGCGTCCTTGTTCCGTCAGAGTGTGAGCACTTGCATAACAGGAGTCAGCTGGACCCTCGCAGTCACCTCGTGAGGTGCCATATTGTTTGGGGGGTTGCATGTCGTGGGCTGGATGGATTTGCTCCGGTAGTCGATGTGGTCGGTTTATGTCACGAATTGAATGTATGGATGAGACATGTGTGCCCTACTGATGAGACATGTGTTCCACAAGAAGGTTCAATACGGTTCACCATGGGTCACCACTGCTCGCAGTGCTGCTCGCTTCAGGCACCTGGAGACGTATCCGTGAAGAGCATGTTCCACGCCCAGTTGGCATGCAGATGGGCAAGGGGTGGAGCGAGCTTTGTAGTATTGGTTGAGCGGGTCTCAACATTCAGCCTGGCCAACGTTTTAACCTTGGAATACCTTGGATACTTTGATTACTGAAAGGTCAGATGCTACGCCAGCGAATGCAACGGGAGGATGGCTGCAAGTGCCAGCCGCAGATTTTTCTCAAGCTGTTTCCGGGTCTTGACCCAGACCTGAAGATTCAACACCCCAACCGGCTTGTTTGAGAATTTGTGCGAAGTGTTTCAATTGATTTCCTGTCGATTTTCTGTTGGCCTGGTCACCTTTGGGGCTGTTCCAACTGTGCCCTGGCAGCACACTTGCAGGGCGGAGCTGGAGCCACAGGACGGAGACACAAGGAAAAGGAAGGTATAGGTTTCGCCACACCCATGTGCTTTTGTTTTGGGATTCATTTGCATTGTGTTTTGTCCAGGCTTGTGCGTTTGTTTCTTTTTGATCAATGAAATGTGATGTTAGCTGTTTATGTGCATTTCTTTTCAACCTTATTAAGCTTCCTTTTGTTGTACATTTGGACACGTTCAATTGACAGCCTGGCCGCTGGCCCTTCCTGACCGGCTTCTTATTATATATAAAGATAATGCTTTTTTCACGCCATGGAGCTCCATCAAGCCATTTTCGCCCATGCCTGCTCGCTCAGAAACGTTCAATTTGGATGGAATGGAACAGCTAAAGCAATGTCCCACCGGATTCCACACGTTTAGATACATGATGATACATATGATACATGATACATGTTACATTGATTTGTTGGCTTGGGCATTTCAACCTGCGGGTGCTTGCAGTGAAGCATGCAGTCGGCCACTGTGGCATCATGGATGGGCAAAAATGTGTTTTCCTTTTGGGGCAGACATGACATCATAAGGTGATAGCTGTACTGTACCATTAAAAAACATCATAAAACACGCACATTTTGCATAGATGTAGAAATATTATATATAGATGATGAATGATAGATATCTATCTATTCACTGACCCAGGGTCCCCCACAATTTTCTTCCAAGGAGCGAGTCCTCTGATCAGAGCTTCGGCTTGGACAACACTTGGAAAGGTCCAGGTGGGGAGAACACGAGAGACACGGAAACCAAGGCAAGTAGGTGAAAAATGGTGAAACCAGGCTCGGAGAGGTCTCCTTAATTTTCCGTTCTGCGTGGACCCCGGGGCCCAAGCTGATTTCTTTTTTGTTACCGCATTTTGAACTACAGATCACAAACAGGACGCTTCTTTTCACGAAAGCTAGCGAAGCTAGCTGGAGTTACTCTTGCGATAGCAAGGTTTCTTTCGACCGGGTGCAAATCCTAACCCCTGATTTTTCAGGTCGAAGCCCCCCCCCCCTCCCCTCTCCCCACCTCCCCTCTCCCCACCTCCCCTCTCCTCCTCCTTGTCTTCCTCCCATCTTCCCTCCCTCCCTCCCTCCTCCCTCTTCGCAAGTTGGACTCCGTCGTGTCGTCGCTCTTTGGCATGCGGTTAGCGTTGCGTATCTTGCGGCCGCACTCGCTCGCTCTCACTCTCACTCTCTCACTCTCTCACTGTCTCACTGTCTCACTGTCTCACTGTCTCTCTCTCTCTCTCTCTCATCTCTCTCATCTCTTTCTCATCTCTCTCATCTCTCTCTCCTCTCTCTCTCTCTCCTCTCTGTCTCTCGTCTTTCCGTCTCTCTTCTCTCTCTTCTCTCGCAGGAGGATCCGGGCAAAGAGCCACATATAAAGGACTCTTCACCCCTGCCTCCAAAAAGAGCGCCGTCTTTTTTCCTACCTCGCTGCCCTCCACTTTCCCATTCTGGAGCGCTAGCTTTCGCCCCCCCCTTGGCCTCAAGTAAGTGGAAGGTTTCAGGGTTTCAAGTTTCAAAATTTGACGGTCATTCTGACAACTGCTCTACTACCATGCCCTGGCATCATGGGCCCGTGGGGCGTTCTGTTGCTAAACGAGGCTGCCCAAAGATCCCTGCTCGTGTGGCTGTCATTTGAACCCATCAGCTACCCCTTCACGTCCTGAACGTGTGAGTTTTGTTCTGGGGATGTCATGTTACAGATGTTTTGCCTTGGCAGAGGCCGGGATGGCAATGCTGAGCCAAGTGCAGATATGGCTGTGGAGGTGTGATGCTGGGCTGTGAGATTTAACACATCACACGGGGTGGGATTCATGCAAAATCATTGGAGATATGCTGGCTGAGCTCCATCGCACAATAATGAGCTCCAAAGATCGTCGTCGGCAAGTAGTCGGAACTTGCTCTCCATAATGATTGGCGGCAGGTGCTCTTGTGATTGTTGCAGCTATCGTCAGCTATCCTGGTCCTCGATAACGTCCTTCCTTTTCTTGGTTGTGGTTGTCAGTTCATTCGCTTGAACTCTTGAATGACATGTCAAACATGCTTGAAAAGACGGCGTTCTTTACGTTTCTACAGCGGTGTGGCAGGAATTTGATTGAAGGCGCAGAACACTCAGACCTTCCTGCAATGTGCTTTCTTTTTGGACCATGCGGTCAGTTGAGGTCAACCCCAAAGTTCTTCTGGAATCTAGGTGAGGTAGGTGTCCGATGTGTCAGATGCTTGGTAGCTGGAGGGCTCGTTTTCCTGTTCTGGACCCAGGTGCGGATTGCCAAAGAATGCATTTTTCGTTGCATAATTCAGAATGCCAAACGCGGCTCGTGCAGGTATGCGCTCTTGGCCTTTGCGCCTTCGCAGATGTAATTTAAGGTTTCCCACTTGTGCTGCTGAGCAGCACGAGCACGGGGGCAGCATCATTGAGCCGTTGTAACACAAGAGTGCCAAGCAGCAAGCTGTCAATTTCACTAGGGACGTCAGAAATGGATTGATTGCACTTCCGCTGGAGATGCAGGGAATGACTGGGCAATTTGTCGCATGACTTGCAGGTGTTGAGTCCCAAGGTTAGTCTTGGCAAGTTGCAAGAGATGACAGAACCGGGCGCACGGGCAAATTCAGAGGATAATATGGAAGTCAATATGGAATCCTGTCTGAACTTCTTGTTTGAGCATCCTCACGTCACCTTCGGAGATCCCGTAGCTCAGAGAGGCATCATGAAATTCTGGTGCCAATGGCAAGCACGAGGCAGCTGGAAGATCAGACTGTGGAACCCTGTTGGGGGCCAGGACGCTAAGACAAATTTCCGATTGAGATCAGCCGCGCACATGCACCAATCGGTTCAAGCGCCACATTCGCTTACACGAGTGATCCTCGAGATATTTCAATGAAGGACTCTGACATTCCTAAATTTAATGCATGTAATGTTATGGCATGTTATGGCATTTGTACTTCAACTATCAAGGAATGTTTTTGCTTGACATATGACATGTCCATGCAGATGATTTTGTGAGAGAGATTTTGGAGATGGAGAGGCATGCCGCAAAGATCTTCATCTCAGCTGAGGTTTCTTGGCACAAAACTAGAAATTGAGCACCCCCACCCACACACCCAAGATCTTCGAGCTGAAGATTCTATCCAGGTCGGCTTAGAAGATTCACCCACACTTTGCTGCATGTTTCTCCTGGTCCTAGCTCAAACCCTTCCAATGTTGGGTCTGTCCCCAACACAGCCTACATTTTAAAGCAAGCCTTTGCTTAGATTGGAGTTAGGTATAGAGATTCAGCCAGGTGCCCAAGGTCATGGGGGACGGCTGATAGATGTGGTCACAAAGCCGATGTCGACGTTCTGGTTTCCATGATCAGCATGCACTTTGCTGCCAACATCATGAGAGATTCGGTGGGGCATGCAGCGACATGTCTTTTTTCTCCGTTGCCAATGTTAGATTGACGACTTGACGAGGACAATCATGGTTGTGTTGGTATTGGTGTCATAAGTGCTTCTTCTCCGTGTTTTGAGAGGCTTGAGGGTTCCAGGAATCCTCTGGCAGAGTGGTTCTAATTTAATGTGAAAGAATGTCAAGGTGTTGGCATCGTTTGATGTTGGGGGTTATGGGGGCTGCTGTTGTCAACTTGTCGCTGTGTCGCTTTCAACGGAATGATTGTCAGAACTTCCTGATCGCTTCTTGTTTGGTGTGAGGGAAGAGACAGACCGACAGACCTTCATTCCCCTGAGCCATGGACATCGAGTGTGTCCGTCTTGGCGGCGGGAGCGCTTGCAGATTCCAGATTGAGGTAAACGCCACTGTATTGGACTTGCTGCATCGAGTGTCAGCCGAAGTGGGCGAACCTGTGGAATGCATTCAGCTGTGTTTTGGTGCTACAGTGCTGGATGATGCGCAATCGACTGCTCACATGTCGGACTATGCCCTGCCAGAAAGTGATTCGGATACTGGCAGCACGGTGAGGGTGCTCCATTTGATGCTACGGCCTCCAAGACATTGCCAATGGCCAGCAACCGATGCATGGACTGGATGCGGAGGTGATCCACACGGACATGCTCGGTGCTCAGGTAATGGAAATTGCTCGCCCGAATGCACATCCTGTGGGGCCCACACCCACTGGCGTTGCTGCGGCTCTTCTGACCCTAAAAGTGAGTTCTGCTTGCCAGGAACCTCCTCGAAGCAGGCCTCCTACAATAACACGGTGTGTGCCCAGAAATATGACCCGAAAGTTGAGGGCCCAAGATACGTTGAAGCTGGCAAGGAAGCACCTGCTTAGCACCTCCGTTCCGGGTAGACCGACAAAGGCTGCGACCAAGCCAAGCCGAGCAGCTGAGCACGTGCAAAAAGAGTTAAAGGGACCTGAAGGGTACGCTTTTTTCAGCTCCTTGTGATGAACCAACATAGTGAGAGCCATAGAGAGCCGAATGCGCCACATGCAGGTGCTGTTTTGCATGTGTTTTTTATTTTTTAATGTTTTTTGATCACGCTGCTCAGCTCTCTTGGATTCTTGTGATCTCTGAGGCCAGCGACCTTTGCCCCCGAGAGCATGAGCTCGGGACCTTTGGGACGCCACGCTTAGCAGCCTTTGTGGATGGCCACCTCCGTGGGCAATCAGAGGCAGCTGACGCAATGACTTCCCAGTCTGCCAGTAGATGCTGTTGCAGTCCCACTATGTGTGGCCATGGTTGTGGGGCCACGCGCACATGCTTTCAAAGCACGAAGACAGTAATAAAATAGAACAAAACAAACAGGGAATTCAAGTGTGCCCACAGCCCAATATTCAATATTCAGAAAACTTTTTTTTTGGACTCCAAGTCGTTTACAGTGACTTGGCATCCGAAATGATTTCATGCTTCTTTGGTCGCGGTCCTGCTTTGCAGGGCCAGCCCAGCTTTCCACGCCCACGCTGGCAGCCGTTTAGTGTCACGGTGGAGTTGACCAGCGAGTTGCTCTTGGTCGTTCTGGAGTCAGACCCCCTGCAGCCGAGGCGATGGCACAACCGGACCGAGCAATCCATCAATCAATCAAAATCATAGAGCTTGTTCAATACCGCTGGACCCGTCGTCGGCGGTTATTTTTTGGCTCCTCCACAATTCCAGCTTTGAAGTCAATGAGCCATTGCAACTATTGCCCACTATTGCATCCATGTTCCTTATCAATTTTAGATATATAAGTATTTTAGGTTTTAGGCCGTAGAACCGAAGAACGCATATTTTGATCGACTGGCCAGGCCGGGCGCGCCCTTCTGCTATGGCTTTTTGCGCTTGAGGGAGGAGCTGGGACCCTTGGCCTGGCAGCAGAAGATCCACATCTCGCGGCCGCTGGAAGAGGCTCCAGGAAGGCCTCTCGCCTACCTAAGTACTGTAGTCAGCAAGCCTGCCAGTTGCGTTTGGTGTGAAATCCCAGGGCGCGAAAGCCTGGAGAAAGCTTTGCGAACGTGACATTTGGACCTGTTGTTGCGAAAATAGTTGTCAAGCTTTCGTGGAATGGAATGTAGTAGATTGATGTAGATGTAATATATATATAGATTGTATTATGTGTATTTGCATGCTGCAGAATGAAGGTGCCGCGAAGGTGGCAAGTAAGTACAGTACATGCTTTGAACTGAGGCCCGTGAAAGTCCAAAACACAGGTCGCGAAAGCGGCGGCAAAGCATGCACGAAAGATCTAGAATCTAGCCAATTAGCACCCTCCCTAGGAAACAATAAGCTACTAGGAACAAGTGCATCGCTTCTAGTAACAAGTGCCTTATTCGTAGTAACAAGAAGCTATTAGAAACTGTGGTTATGAAATGGGATGCCCAGCGCGTCGGGCCTTTTCAAACCTTGAGCCAAAGTAAGATGAAAACACTCGTAGCGCTTGGCTTTCTACGAGGTATGGTTGTACACTTTTCGATTTGTGCACTTCCTGAATCACACTCCCCCTGGCTTGGTTCAAGCCATTGAGAGCTATTCAAAACTCCCGTCTGACTCGCTTGAGTCTCCACGATCCCTTGAGGTTCCAGAAAAACCGCGTCGCGGCTCCCAAGGGTCATTTGACCTGGGCCTCACTGGCATCTGCGTAAACACCCCCATCCAAGTTGGTGTCTCCTGATTTGGGTCCTCAGCTGGTGGTAGTACAGGATCCGGTCCTCTGTAGATTTCTCGATTCGGGGGTGCCAAGTTACTTCGCACCACCCTCCACCCTTGAGCGGTCATCTCGTCCAAGGTTGGCGGTTCTTCATCCTCACTGGCCAGAGTTCTCCTCCAGTCAGGTCTTTCTGCACTGCTCGACTCACTCTCCACCGGCCGGTTCCCCGCAGGCGACCCCGCATCAACGGTCAAGTCCCGCATGAACGCCAGCCAATCATCCCGCACATCATCCTCCAGCGTAGTTCCATCATGTCCTCCAGGTCCTTGTGCCCAGTAGGCTGGGTCGTAGTCCCACCCTCTGTCAATTTCCTCACTCACCAAGGAGAGCTCTTGAGACTCTCCCGAGGTTCCCGAGCCTTCGACTTCGCCTCGCTGTTGATGTCCACGAAGCCGCTGCCCATAGCCCCCAAGGCCACTGCTGCTCACTCCCTCAGTCATCCTCGTACTGAGCTCCGACGTAGATTCCATAGGATCTGGTTCCGGTTCCTGACGATCCGGTCGGACATCTCGAGGCAACCCTTCAGCCACTGGACCATGTTCCGCAATGCCCGGCATTGGCGGTGGTCCGGAGGTCAATGAACTGCTCATCGATGAAGACGTCCGATCGCCCTGCCCTCTGGTAGTCGAGGAACTGGATGTCGAAGTCAAAGTCCCTGTGGTTGGGTCTGGATGAAGATCTCGGAAGAAAGTATATCCCACCCAAGCATCCCTCGCAGGTGGTTCTGTGTCTCTCCTCCAATCATCATCTCTGATCACCCTTTCTCCATGACACCACAACACGGTGATTCTCCGATCTTGAATGTGGCTACAGTCCATAGGTGTTCGTCGATGAATTGGATGGAAAGGTCTCATCCTCTGTTTCACATGGTGTCTGACCCACCACCCCCCTGGAAGTCGGTCCCACCGATCTTGACCCCTTGAAGGCATCAAAAACCTCCTCCACGTCCAGGGTCGATCGTAGTCCACAGCTGGAGCCGTTCCCGTGGTCGTCGACGATATCCCTCCAGGTTCCGCCGAAGGTTCCACTCTCAGAGCGGCCAATCGTGCCCTCTTCGAGTTACCGCCATGGCTCACCTCTACCGCGTAATCCCAGGAGCCCTCAGGGCTAGGTTCCTGGATGGGTTCCTTTTCCGACCCAGCGTCTCTACTGCAGGTGGGTTCATCTTCCCTCACCTGATCTTGAAGTCCGTAAGGTGGATCTACGTAATCAGATCTTGTCGGCCCAGTGGCTCTCTTCTTAGAATCACAGCCGGCTTTCCAGCTGGTGGCCAAACTAGCTACCATCGCGGCTACGGCCAGGCTCTGAGCGGCCTTGCCCGTAGGGCCTGACGGCCGCCAAGCCATCACGCCCGCTAGCCCACCTACCAAAGCTGCGATCCTGGCCACTTTGGACCCTAAACTCTCAGACAAAGTTTCCACCACCGGTTTCATTCCCATAGCCGCGAAGAAATGCTGCCATCTCGCCGCAACTCCAATTGGCTTCGTCAAGAAGTCGGCCACCAAATGTTGACCTGGGATATGAATCACCTTCCAAGCGCCCCACTTCACCCTCTCTCGTGCATGGGCTCGAAGACGAAGGTGACGTGTCCTCCAAGGTCCATCCGGCGCTTCAAGGATTCGCCTCCATGGCGTGCCACTCCTCACCTTGATCCCAAGAACAACTAGAGCCCGTCCATAGACCTCCAGTCCGACGTTCTCGGTAGTCGTCCACATACTCCAAGTTGCCACCACAGAAACCGCAGGAAATCTGTGTCGCCTCCACCAAATCCAGCGTACCTTCCACCGCCGCTTGCATGAGCTCATCACCACCCCGCAGCCGCGAATGTCTCTTGGATTCTCAGTCGGGACTTGGTGGGGATGCCGAGGTTGAAGAAGTCCACAATCTCCACAACACACCATCGCCAGCTCCCCAAAAGGCATTCCCAAGCTCTCCACCCCGACTGATCTCCTTCCGACTCCGGCTCCATCTCATCGACCACCTCCTCGACATCCTCATCGTCCACAAACTCCAGACCACCACCACTGAAGTCCCGCTCCGACTCCTCCAGGTAGTCCCTCAGCGGCCCGGAGACCTCCAACTCCACGCCAACCACCTCTTCTTCACCATCTCCCCCGACCATTGGCTCCATGGATTGATCGGTGGAGTCCATCATGCCATTCACATCCTCTCCAGGTTGCCATACCGACAGCAAGTTCAATGGAGTAGGTTCCGGATTTTCCGAAATTGGTTCAGTGGTCTCCCCCCCAGCTTGTAGTACCCGAAGAGCTGGTCGGACTCCTGCATCAAAATGTCGAGCCACCACATCTTTTAGTGGGTGCGGGTCGAAGGACTGTTTTCCTGTCAGTCGATGTCTGATGCCCTTGTCCTTGAGGTCCACCTCCTGCAGCTCCAGTACCGCTTCCAAGGTTTTCGAAGGGGTCACCACCGTCCGAAGATGTTGAATTCTGTTCTGTTTGTCCTTGGCTACCCAACCAGATGACATCGACGGACTTGGTCCCAACACCTGCACTCTCTTGAACGGGTTGGTCAGCTCTCCAGTTTTGTGATGCCATCTCTTGGCTTTAGCCATGACCATCGATCCGAAGTTGACCATTGGCTTCGATCCCACTCCCAGCCTCTGAAGTTGTATGCGAAGTCGTTGAGTAGCAGCATGCCTAAGTGCACATGGCCACAGCGACGCCTCCACCTTGCTGGTGTGAAGAAGGAGCCTCATCCTTCGCTTGAGCTGCAGAAGCTCTGCCTCCACCCTGCCATTTGACTGGCTATCATCACCTGATGTCATCGTGTGAACCATCTCTCGGGCCTGAACCCACCTGGCCACAGCCTTCGTGAGGAAGGACTTCTCCCTGTCCGAATGCAGCCGACATGGCCGCACCCCCAACATCCTGTAGTGGGCATGCACCTTGGAGAGCGCCCGCACGATGTCCTCCACCCCTCGAGACTGCATCGGCTCTGCAATCGTAAGGTTCTGTAGCGGAACCTCTTCCTGGGCTCGTTCCAGTGCCGCTTTCATGTTGAGCTCTATCACCTGCTCCTCGGTCGCCATCTCTACGTCCTCCTTCTCCTCCTCAATCTCCACCACATCCTTGACCTCCGCCTCGTGGTCCAGTGGTTCCTCTGGTGCCCCGGCCAGATCCTTCACAATCGGCGCCGGGATTGTAGCCACCATCACATACTTGCACCACTGGTTCAAACCAAGGTCTCTCCCCTGATCGAATGGGCCCATGATATCCACCGCCATCACAAAGGCCGAAGAGGCATTTCTGGATCGCCGATGTGGACTGGAGAAACCCATAGCCTCTACACAATCCCGACAATCTCTCGTGTAGGGAACGTGCTCCTGCTTGATGTGTCTCTTCCATTCCTCCACATCCATCTTGGCCAGACTCAAGTGAGCTCTCCCCCCAAACCGAAGGTTCAAGGCCAGTCCAATCGCCTTCCTTCACCAGCCCACTGGACCAACGCGCCCACGACCGAGATGCTTTCATTCTCTCCTGTAGTCCTCCTTCCACCGGGTCTGCCGATCCTCCTCCCCTGAGTCCATCCAGATCTTCCAGGTGACGAAGGTTGGTCAGCAAGCTAGTGGGTTTTCGCCGGGAGTGCCCCGTTCTTCCTTGGTCGAAGCTCACCAAACTCATTCCATACTCATCAACCATTCTCCTCAACAACGGCCATTCAAAGAAAGACGGATGATCATGCCCGGCATCAACTCCATCTCCCACATAGCTGGCAGGGTCCTGCGGAGATTCCAGAAGAAATGCCACCGGATCAGGTCCTTCCCGATGTTCCTCCGCGAGGTGCCATAGCCCCACCTGTTTCACCACCAGTGCGGAATCCCTCGCACCTGTTCACGCTCTCGGGCGGTTAGCCCCTCCAAGCCCCACGAAAACCCAACCATCATCTCCAGCACGTCCTCCGGCACGTCCGGCATGATGCTACGCCACCAATTCCAGTCCGCTTGGGACAACCTCTTCCGATTCTTCTGGTTCTCTTCAAACTCTGCCAACATCACCATGGCATCCTTTCGATTCATGACAGGGCACCCCGACCTCAACCAACACTTCACAGCTCCAAGCTGCTGGCGCATGATCGTGCAACCCTGTCCATTCCAGTTAATGGCATACCCATTCTCCACCAGCAAACTCAGCGGCAAGATCGGCTCCACTGGCTCCAAGGACAAGAGGGTGTCAAAGTCTGGGTGCTTGTACAAGGTTGTACATCCATGGGCAAGCTCCACCGTCACAGGCTGCAACTTCCCTCGCTCCTCTTGTCTCACCATTCTCAATGGGTGAGTAGCTCCACCATCCAATAGTGCCAGCTCCAAACCCTCATTGGTATCTGCCACATGAATCTGCTTCAATCTGAAGGTCTTCATGCTGCGGAGGGACTTCAAGAGGGATGAATGACTGCCGAACTGCCTCCTGCAAATGCCCAAGCCCCATCACCTGGCCTCTTGGGTCATTCAACAGCTGTCGAACTTCCTGTTGTCCTTGGTGACCACTCGATGCAGCCACCACCGGAGGGCCTCCCTGGCCCGATCCAGCCCCAGCAGCTCCGCCCAGCCGCTTCACTTCAGCAGCCCTCACAGGCACTGATTGCGCTCTCGCCGCCGTGGCCTTCAGCTCTTCCTCAATCAAAGCATCCAGCCGGCGATCTGCCGCTCCGATCTCCACCTGGGGCTCCACGGTCTCCTTCCGCTCCCTCGACCGCTGCTGGCGCCGTCGCCGCTGTTCCATGGGGACCAGCACTCTTCCGCTCACACAGCGGCAAGAGGTGGACTTGGAAAAAGAAAAAAGTCACCTTGGGCTCATAACCTGTGGTTATGAAATGGGATGCCCAGCGCGTCGGGCCTTTTCAAACCTTGAGCCAAAGTAAGATGAAAACACTCGTAGCGCTTGGCTTTCTACGAGGTATGGTTGTACACTTTTCGATTTGTGCACTTCCTGAATCACAGAAACAATAAGTGGAGCATCCGTCTTTCTGAGGTACGGAAGCTTGTCGATTGAACTCTCAGTGGACGAGCCACGCCCTGAACCTCCAGCTCCAGGCGGCAAAGTCCTGTCCTTGGCCAATGCCATAGCCCACCCAGTGGACTGGTGTGGAGTGCTTCGCTTTTCACCTGAGCTGGGGCTTGGCCGATGGTCCTTGGAAGCAGCTGCAGGGCCTCCACAGGCCCCAGGGCCAGACCAGGACGGCCTCTCCCCTTCAAGTGGCTTCATCAGTTGGGTGGCTGAATCCAAAGAAGCCTTAGCATGCCCGGAAATGAAGGAGCTTTTTGTGGTGGAACGGGATGTGGTCTTCAGTGCTCATGCCTCTTTGGGAGATAAAGCTGGCAAGTGCATGAAGCGCCTCTCGCGCATGCGCGGAGCAGGTGGGATGTGCAACATGTTTGTGGATGCGCATCCAGATCCACTAGCTTTTGAGATGGCAGGGGTCAAGCACCCTCCAAGGATGCACCTCAGGTTCTTCCCGGCAGAATTCCTTAGACCGAAGCCAGGGATGCCATGTGGCCTAAGCATCAGGATCACCCTTGCAGCTGTACCTCCGGGCCTCGATTTGCCACTCGTGTTCTACGTACCCGCTGGGTGCTTCTCAGAATACGCACAAGAACAATCACATGCAAGTTTTTGCATCAGTCACATTGGCGACTGTGCAGAGATTTGCCTTTCAGACCCTTCACGTCTAATTGGGCGCGCTCTTTGGCGGGTCTCGGCCAACTTTTCCTCTGAAAGAACGAGGGGCTTGGATTTGACCCGACTTCTTACAGTCCCAGATGCATTCATTGATGTGCTAGCTCTCAGGCTCCGCCCTGTTGATGAGAAGGTGCTGACCATACCTGTGGATGAACATGCCATCGTTTTGCGGGTGCTTCCAAGCACGCTGCGTGTTGATGTGCCCAGACCTGTTTTTGGTCTCTTCCTCCCACCTGCAGATACAGCAGATGATTTGCGCATGATGAGCCCGGGAGGTGAAGTAGCAGGGATTTTTGTGCATAGCCTAGCCGTGCATTCGCCACATGTGAGATGTTGCTTGATCAGTGCAGGGCCTGACCCAGGCACTCTCTTCTACCCTTTGCCACACATGGGTGGCAAGGTGTTTATCCCAGCGCAGCCAGACCACCATGGCAAGGTCATCGCACATGCTTTTCTACCTGACTTTGGGTATCATGCAGTTGCAGAAGCCACTGTGAGCGACTTTGCTTTGCAGCTGCGTTGGCTTTTCAATGAAGGTCTAGGGCTCAGTCCATTATTGATGTCATCCATTGTATTGGCCAATGAGCCACGACATGCCACAGCACTCTGTCATCTGTTGATCAGTGGTGATTTGACCGCAGACTGGCTCAGAGTGCCTCAAGCATTCAGCGTTTTCACTGCCAACACTAGTCTCCACACGTGACCAATGACCCAAACCAGGCTCGAAAGGGCCGACTCCTGACTGCCAGGGCAAATTTGCAGTTTGGAGCACCCTTTGAATAGGAGCTAAAGCCGTGCACCATCGCAAAGAAATCAAGAACCGAGATTCCTGAACCTTCCTGGCAGATCCTGGCAGTTATTTTGTGAAAATGTATGAACCTGTAGTATCACATATAGGGTATAGATAAAGTAAATATATATATATACTGTATTAATATAGATGATGGTAGGTTATCAATTCTCAATCAATCTTCATAACTGCCTGTTTGGCGGTCATTTACTTGATCAGGATGCAGAGCCGCCCTGTCCTCCTCCTTGTGCTTCTGACCACAGCACTGCTGGTCAGCGAGGGCCTGCTTGCAGGGATGAAAACAGCTCAAAGGGTCAAGAAGAATATAGCTTTGTCCGCATGATCCAACGCCATTCGTTTTTGTTTGCGCTCAGATTCATGAACATGAGGGACGACGTAAGTTTCCCCTCATGCAAGCGGATAGCACATTCAATCACCAACGGGCCACCCCAACCTCGAATGCCAGGGCAGAGGATTCTTCCTTCCGATGGGCACAGGCGACCATGGGTTGAGCACTCACACGCAATATACCACGATAGGCATGAAGAGTTGGAGAAACTATGAGAAACTAGTGATCCAAAATTCATGATCATCACATCACCCAAGGCACCCAGACACTTCACATGTGATATGTGATGATGTGTGTCACGCACTTGTGAGAGTCTCTTTTGACCTCCCAAGGCCGTGGAACAGCAGTGGCAAGGAGAGCCAAGGGAGGCGCGCCAAGGGAAGTGGTTGACAAGGTCGTACAGGACAGGTAGTACAGGCCTCACTGAGCGTACATCATTGCACGCCACCGAGCGTACTACATCGTCTGGCCGAATGGATCCTTACGGATCCTTTCAGGTGCAAGTGCCATCATGTCCTTTGACAACCGCGAGGACTTCGAGAAAAACCTCGGAGGAGGCTCCCTGACAGTGGACACTTGGCTGCACGACCACCAGGATTGCTGAGCGCTTTTGATTTGCTTCTACTCACCCATTTTATCACATATTCTATACATGGAGATGACAGCTGCACTGACTCAAGGCATTTGAGATTCAGATACTGCCGCCCCATCTCTACACACGTATTGTATGATCGCAGCTTTAACTTGTTCCAGATGACACCATCTCTTTTGCTTGGGAGTTCCAGACTGAGGGAGGTTTTGGAACATTTAGGCATTTAGGCAGTATACTATTCGGTAGGTCTAATGTGGCACCGTTTTTTGAACATTGTTTGGGGACTTGTTGGGAGCCGCAAATTGTCAGGCAATGTTTTCCTCATCCATGTGTGGGCCATGCTTCCTGATGGAGCCGAAGATGGAAGAGATGGCGGCAGCTGAGCCAAGCAGTGGTTCTTGAGCGACATGCATAAACTGCCTGGAATTTTTGCAAGCGAAATATAGAACCTGTCCACAGGCAAAATCAGATAAGTAGTATATATATATACACATGTATACATGCATACATACATACATACATACATACACAGACAAACAAGTTCATTGAGGCAGTGACACGCAAGCATGGACAGGTGACAGACTGAAGGTGCTTCACCCAGCCATAGCCGCTTCAGCGAAGAAGTGCAAATTGAACCTTGAGCTATTGTGCCAAGGTAAAATATGCCAACGACGGTCTGAAAGTGGTAAAGATCAGCTTGGAACCAGGCATACTGCTTTGACAAAGAGCTTGTACAACAGGTAGACTGAAAGGGCACAATGTTTGCATAAGTGCTTTGCACAAATTCTTGACGACCGATGCTGATCTTGCGTGTGGCTCATGTGAAATTCATGTCATACATGTCCAAGTGTTGTCCAGGCAAGAATGCCAAAGCTGTGAAGCCACTTTACTCTGACATGGAAGTCCGTGAGCTGCCCACCTTCATTCTCTTCAAGGACTGGATCGGTGATGCCAATACTTTTGGCAGCTGCTGTAGAGGATCATTTGGTGTTAGCTGCTTTAGGGTGTTTACCCTCGAAAGAGTTATTTTATTGCAATTTCATAGAGGATGTGTGCCAAGATCAACTTGTCGCACAGTTTGTGAAGAATGGTTGGTGATGTCCTTAGCGGCACCATGTCAGATGCAGGACGGCGAAATTCAGGGAAGGGTCACTGGAACCAGGCATGCTGAGCTTCAGGCTGCATGGCTGCAATCAATTTTGGGCAATGAGGCTAGTGAGCTTGTAGGCTTTGCCCTACCTATCCCAAATGGCTTACCCTCCTGTGGGTGCTTTGGGTAAAGCGCAATTCCGGTGCATGTGTTCGTCGCTAAGTATAAAGAGTGAGAGCCTCTTCCACCTGGCCCAAGTTCAGATTGGTGACTCTCATGAACTCATGGGACTCGGCCAAGGATATGGTCGAAGATTTGCTGTGATGGTGAAACCTAGGAGCCTTCCGATGTTCAGAATTCCGTGAGAGTAACGAAAAAAGTAATCGAGTGCGGTATGCCGTCAGACTTGGGCAGATTCATGCAGATTCCAATCACTTGGCATAGGCAGCTGTTGCAGATTGAGATCATGACATCCTGAATTCCACTTGTCCCTGAAGGAGTTGTTGATCTTCCACACTCTGGTGGAATTAGTTTCCGAAGGGAACGTGGCACCATGAGAAGATGAATTGAGGTGTCACTATTGCAAATCTCACAATTTTCAAAGGTTTGCAGTGACGGGTGTGACCTCCCAGCCGCAACTGCACTCGAAGCCCAGTGAAACGGTATATAATGCTTTGGAATGCCGAAGATTGCCGGTGAACCAAACTATGCAGCGAGAACAAACAATGTATACATATCATACTAATTCATAGTGGTTCATACTATAAATTAAATTTATGTCATTACACTTGCAGATGATCAAAGGAAGTTTAGTGTGCAAAACTTCCGTGTTACGGACATTCAACAGCTGTTCAACCACCAC